GGCCGTCTGGGTGCCAGGCTCTGTGAGGTAAGACTGACAGCTCTGTTTTATAGCGGGGTGGGTGGGGAGAACGGAGCCTTCGAATACGATGTGGCTTGTCCAGGACTTCAGGCAAGAAACAGTGGAGCCAGGACTGGATCTGGGTTTGTCTTTCATCCTGGGCAGGGAGACACCTTTGGCCTGGGTCCAGGGACTTGCCAGTGAGTCCCCGCTCCCTCAGGGAGATTGAGGCAGCTCTTCAGGGGCCCAGACCCCGAGACCCTGACTCAGTTCCCACTCCCCTGCGAGGCTGCCCCTGACCAGCTCTCACCAGTCTAGGGACCCCAGAGGATGGGCCATAGCCTAGCTAGGAGTACCCAGGCACATCCTGGGCCTGGGCAAGTTAGAGGGCAGAGAGAGGGGCTGGGCAGGACAGGAGATGCCAGTGTGCCTCTGTGGGGGTTGACGTGCAGCCAGCCCTGGAGAGATGAAATAGGCTTCTTGGCCCAGTGGCCAGTCAGCTCCCACCCCTTTCCTGAAGCCTCACTGTCACTGTGACCCCTTAGAGCTGGAGGGAGCCGGCCCCTGCAGAAGGCGGGGGCCACTTCTGCCCTATCTGGGCCGGGAGCCCATCCCCCACCTAGTTCCTCATATCTGCGGGAAGTGTCCCCAAGGCCTCTCGCCTGAGCTGTCAGAGTCCCGAGAACTCCCGGGAGGGAACGGATCGAGGTGGCCCTGCCCATCGGTATCACTCGCGGTTGGACTTGGGGACACCGGGATGCGTGAGGGGGTGTGTATCGGGCAGAGGGGGCTCTAGAGTGGTCGTGTCCAGTATCTTGTTAGCAAGGAGTGTGGTCACTGAAGGGGGTGTGGTGGTGGTGGTGGTGGTGGTGGGGTGGTGGTGCAGATGTGCTTTGCTTTGGGCGGCGGTGGTGGTGGAGTGGTGGCTATGTCCCTTGTGGTAGTGTGTGTGTGGCAGGGTGGGCTGTGGCTTGGAGACCGGGGCCTGACCTGGGCTGGATGCGACTGGCCTTGTTCCTGTGTGTGGATTTCTGAGAGCCTCTGTTGGGAAACCCAGGGGTCCTGGTGGGGGGTGGGGCACGGGGGCCTGTGCAGGGGAGATGGTGTGCTTGAGCTGAGACCTCAGGTCTGAGTCTTGGGCCTGCCTCCCCCTCCCAGTGCTGGGTCTTTTCCTTGGACCCAGAGCTAGGCTTTGTGCAGAGATGGGAGCCAAGGTGCAGTCCAGGAAAGCTTCCTGGCTGGGAAGCTCCCAAGCAGAGCGCAGAGGGATTTGGACTTCCATGCTGCGCCCACCCAGGGCTGAGTCACTCATGCAAATCAGCCTGCCTGGAGTACACCCCCCAGGAAAGGGTCACACCCACACGGGTCAGCAGGCCCTGTGGGTGACCAGGGTGAGTCACCACGATCTTCACAGCCTTGCTTAGCCTTGCTCGGGGCCCCAGGCCCTGCACACACTCCAGCCCCTTTGGGAAGGCTTGGTTCCACCTCCTCAGCCATCTCCATCTCCCTGGCCCCACCAGACACACAGGCAGCCACGTTGTCTGCAGCAAGTGACCTGGGCCAGTCTCCACCCCCGTGGCCTCAGCTCGGTGGCCCTGACTGGGTAGCAGTCCCAGGCCTTGGGCTTTTCCTGAGGATGAAGGAGATACAGGCAGACTGGCAGGGCCTAGACACTCAGGGCATCAAAGCGGTCTGGGCAGGCCTAGCCTGATTAAAGCTCTGGACTGGGAGGACCAGGATGGAGAGGGGTCGATGGGCTGTAAGCTCTGCCAGCAAGAGAGACTCAGGCAAGACCTGAAGAAGGACTGGCTGGCAAGAATGACAGATTCTAGAGCTAGTGTCCTTGTGAGCCCAGCTGGGTCTCAGGCTTGACTGTGGGGAGCAGGGAGGAGGATAAGAAGCGTGCAGACCCTCCGGGCACCTATGTGTCAGGGTAGGAGCTAGGTGAGCAGGAGTCTTGCAGGCAGAGTACCAGAGACAGCAGAAGCAGTGGGTTGAGCTGTGTGCTCAGCTCGGGGTCCGCGGGGGCAGTCCGGAAGAACTTTCTGGAGGGTTTGGCGTGGAGCCCAGACCCTGAGGTGGGAGTGTGGTTCATGTGCTCGTTGTCAGCAGTTTGGGGGCTCACTGTGCCAGCCCCCCTGGTACGATGAGTGACAGGAAGGAGCTCTGATGGGCCAGGCCGGGGCTTGCAGTGCGTCACTGACAAGTTGAACAAGTTGCTTCCTCTCTGTGGCTGCCAGTTGCTTTTCCTGGAATGGCTTTTCCTGGCCCCTGGCCGAACCACCAAGGCATGGACGCAAGGGCACTGGGAACCTGGAAAGGCCCTGGGCAGAGGTGGGGCCAGGTGGCTTCTGCTGTGAGATGCCCACTGTGGCGTGTTGGGGAGAAGCTGAGGGAGCAGAGGGGGGCTGGGGTGGTGGGTGGTGGAACCTGGGGAGGATGGGAACCCCTATGTGTGGATCATCTATTGCAACAGGATGATTCTCTCCTCCCTGGATGTGGGGACTACGTGACCCATCTCAGCTGCGGCCAGGGTTCAGTGCGTGTGGCCCCGCTCAGAGCACAAAGTCTAAAGGGGCCCCAAAGTCTCTCAGAGGCTCAGAGAAATAATATCGTGATGAAGGCTTCTTGTTTTAGTGATTTTTTTTTAAAGTCAAAACTAAAGCTATATATATATATATATATTTTTTTTTTTTTTGAACAAAATACCAAATATTTGTTCAGTAGAGAGAGGTTCAGGGTTGCCAAGTCTGGCTCCGGCTCCGGCCCCAAGATGGCTCAGCATGGCACGCCTCTAGACTTCTGTTACCAAGGAGCTGCTTCCTCCAGGAAGTCTTCCCTGGCTTCCAACCAAAACCAAAGCCAAACTCACTGCTGTTGAGTTGGTGCTGACTCATAGCAGCCAAATAAGACAGGGTCTGAGACAGTAGCTCTTTACGGGAATGGACAGCCTCCTTCTTTCCCCTGAAGAGCCGCAGATGGCTTGGGACTGCTCACTTTGCCATTAGCGGCCCATTATGCCTGGTTTAAATGGGCTGGGTGGGGTGGGACCCCTCAGACCTGAAACCCAAGGTTCCTCAGGGGCGGGGGTCAGGGGTCAGGTGTGGTTCCTGTTTGTGCCTCCAGTCATACCTTGAAAGGGGTGGGTGTGGGGGTGCAGGTCCAGGGCTGGGTACCTAGAGACCGGTCTGTGAGATGGCCCAAGGCTCTGACCTTGGCCTGAGTCCCTTAGTGCAGGAATGGGAACTTGAGAGAGGCCTGGAAGGGGCCTGGGCCCTGCTCAGGTCGAAGCAGTTCCTGTTTCCCAGACCTGCTGTTGGAGGACGGTTGCCGCGCCTTCATCAGATAACACGTATTAGGCCTGGAGAGAGGTGCCTGCCCCTCTTGTTACTAAGCCCAGCTGAACTCAGTTCCCACTCACAGGGAGCCTAGAGGACAGAGTAGACCTGCTGCCCCCGTAGGTTTCCCAGACTGCAGCCGTGGGAGTAGAGAGCCCCTGCATTCTCCAGAGGATCAGCTGGTGGTTTCAAACTGCTGAATCCTTGTGGTTAGTAGCCCAGCACGTAACCACGGGGCCTCCAGGCCTCCTGTGGCTGTTAGCTGCCATCCGCTCATTTCTGACTCTGGGCACTACACTGAATCCTGTATGTCCCACGTTGCAGAAAGAACTGGGTGATCCTGCCCCACTCCCATGATCTGTCAGATGAATCCGCCTGTAGTGTTACCAAACAGACTGATTTTCAAAAGTACTGGGGACAGTGGTAGCTCAATGATAGAACTCTCACCTTCCATGGGGGAGACTCAGGTTCGATTCCCAGCCGGTGCACTCACTACCTGTCTGCCAACAAGGCTAAGGTGTTGCTGTGTGGCTGAACCCGTTTCAGCGGAGACTACGAGAGCCTCGCCCATCGCATGGGCTTCCTGTCAGCAAGCGGGGCAGTGAAGAGTCTGTTGTGTAAGCTGTACACTCCCACACAAATGAGCCACAGTGCAGCTCTGGTGTTTCTATTAGCTGCCCTGAAAAGAAGTGACATTAATTTTAACAATATATTCACATACGTAGATTACCAGTGCAGCATGTAATCAGCAGAACAAGCTGAGATATTTTACTTTATTTTGGGGGTGCTGTGTTTGCCATCAAGTGTAGGCTGCTCTTCCAGCACACCTCGTTCTGAGGGCCGTGTTGCAGTACCCACCGGAGACGATGGGCTGCACTGGTTTCCACGATCCCAGCCAGTTCCCCCCCTGCCCTCCCCTCCTCCCCCGCCCTTGATGTGTGATCTGGAGCAAGTTTCTTCACTTCTCTAGGTCTCTCTTTCTTCATTGTAAAATAAGGTTGACCCTCCTTTGTGTCCCATAGGGTTGCTGTGAGGATTAAACTGGTTGCAAAGTGCTGAGAATAGTGGCTGCATATGGTAAGCACTCAGGAGCCCTGGCGGTGTCATGGTTATGAGTTGGGCTTCTAACTGGAAGGTCAACATTTCAAAACCACCAACTGCTCCTTGGGAGAAAGACCGGCTCTCTCGAGAGTGACAGTCTTGGAAACCCACAAGGGCAGTGCTCCCTGCCTGTAGAGTCCCTAGGAATTGTAATGGACTCATTGGCGGTGAGTGTGGTCTGGAAGGACCCCCGTTGGCATAGTGGGTCATGATTGATTGACTAAGGTCAGCAATTGGAAACCAGCAGCCACCCTGCTGGGGAAAGCCGAGGCTCCCTGCTCCCTTAGTCTGGGAAACCCACTGGAGCAGTTAGTTCTGTCCAGCTCTATCAGTGAGCTTGGTTTCCTGGTTTTATAGTAAACACTGTGTTGTTTAGCTTTCAACTGTCATTGAGTCGCACTGTCACCTTTTGTTACCCTCTCCCCTGAAGTTCTGAGTAGGTCACACTCTGTGAAAATGCTCCCTTAGGAACCCTGACCAGGTTCACCCCACTAAGCAATGATGATTATGGAGTCTATGCAAACACCTCACTAGTGACATTTAAACTGGTCTTGTCCTCAGTGCCACCAGCTCACAGCCACCCTGTGGGACAGAGCGGAATTGCCCCAGGGTCTCCGGGGCTGCAGATCTTGAAGGAGGTGCCACGCCTGTCTTCCTCAGAGCAGCTGGTGGATTCGAACAACTGACGGTTTAGTTAGCGGTTGAGTGCTTTAAACACTGTGCCACCGGAGCCCTTTAAAACTCCCTGCAGAACTCTTTCTTTAAGAATAATTTTACTGGGGGCTCTTACAGCTCTTGTAACATTCCACACATCGATTGTGTCAAGCATCTTTTTACCTATGTTGCCATCATCGTTTCCAAAACATTTTCCACTTGAGCCCTTGGTATCAGCTCCTCTTTTTGCCCCTCCCTCCCCCTGCAGAACCCTTTTGCACCTTAACCTTGCCCTCATGGAGACCTGGCTCTGCCCAGGTTCTGTGTCGGGGATCTGCCCATTCCACCCCTCACCTCTACCCCCCAAAGAGCAGAGCCGTCAGAATCCTGTACTGACAGCAAGTGCAGCCGGCCCTGAGAGAAAGCTGGTCACTGTTTCCTGTCCTGCCGGGAAATACCCTCTTTTGGCCCATTTTCCTCAACCTTCCACACATGTTTATGGGTGGGACTTCGTGCCCCTGCCTCAGTTACCCCACCACTGGTCTTGTCTCACTCCTGGCTCCTGGGGTCCCCCCACTTCTCTCTCATCAGCTCTTCATGGGATAGGTCACTGAGCCTCACAGGTCCCCTCCTCACCCATGCCCTCTAGCCCCACAAGGTGCCCCCCACAACCTGCCTGTGTGTCCCCACCACTGTGTGACCCCCACCTCTGGCAGGCCTTCCTGGCCCTCCTCTGGTCTAACCTCCATCCCGCATCTACCATCCATTAGTTTACTTCCTTTCCCTCCACATTCTCCCCTGTTTCCTTCCCTCTGCCTTCTTCCCTTCTTCCCTCCACCCCACTCTTAGCCCCCCTTCCCCTCCCCCTTCCCCACCTTCCCCTCCCTTCTCTCCTGGCCGGTCACTGTCTGCATAGCCTGGCCTCCTGACCTTTCTCTCCCTCCTCCTTCCCAGGGGCTTCTGCCTCCTGCCATGACGGGACTCCCTCCGAGTAGCTGCCACCTCTGAGAGGACCTCCCCCGGTGAGTCGGGGGTGCGCTGGCGGGATAGGGTGGGTGGAGGGCCGTTCCATGGAGACCGAGGCCTATGGTCCGATTTCTCACTTTGGAAACTGAGGTTGGGAGGTGACCAAGGCTCCAGGAAGGGGACGGGGAGGGGTGTCCCCCCGGGCTGGACAGGGAGGGTGGCTAGCAGGGTGGAGTGGTAGTTTCTGTCACTCTCTGCTTCCTGATGCCCCTTCCTGCCTGTGGATTTGGTCTCTTTCTCATTCCATGTTGATACTTGTCATGATCACACTGTCTTTTGTTTTTTTCCCTCTGACTTTTAGAAGCATCCTCAGATGTCAGACACAGAATTTGCTATCGTAACCACTTTAAGACGGAGACTGTAGGCACACCAGTTAAGCCCGTGGTTCCCAACCTTCCTAATGCTGAGACCCTTTCATGCAGTTCCTCATGTGTGGTGACCCCCGCCATAACATTATTTTCATTGCCACTTCACTGTCATTTTGCTACTGTTATGAATCGGGAAACCCCTGTGAAAGGGTCGTTCGACCCCCAAAGGGACCGCGGCCCCCAGGTTGAGAACCGCTGAGTTAAGCCCACCAGGTGGTGCAGCCATTCCCGTCATCCGTTTCTACCAGCTCCTCACATTCTCCTCTTTCCTCAGGTTTTCTTTTTAACAGCGTGTGCTTAGCAGAAATGTCACAGGACACATGCGGTGCAGTAAGATCAGTTACATCTGTCACGTATCAGCTACTAGTGCGTGCGTGCATGTGTGTATGCACCAGTGCCCTCCTGGCGGCTGTCAAGTTCACCCCAGCTCGTGGGGTGTGGGACGAGCGCTGTGCGCTGGGGTGCCAGCCCTTTTTAGGTGTCGTGGTTTGGGTGAGAATGTGGAGAGCAGGTTAGTGCCACAGAGCTTTCCAGACGGCGACTTTCTGGAACCAGAGTGCTAGCCGTTGCTTCTGAGGCAACTCGGGGGATGTTTGAACCCCCAGCCTTTCGGTTTAGTAGCCGGACGCTCAACCGCCTGCTCCAGGCGGGGTCCTTGTGTGCACGCGTGTTTCCCCTTCCGTTCATCCAGTGTCTGCACGGCAGAACACAGCTTCGCACCGTGCCTTTTCACGTGACAGCCCATCCTCAGTGTGCTTTTATGTCAGCTTTGGAATCTGCCTGTCTCCAAAAATTCCTGTTGGTGTTTTCGGTGGAGATTGTGCTGGATTCTCGCGTCACCCAGCGCCACGCGGTGCGTTTGTTAGCCCTCTCTTCCGGTGGGCCCCTCCGGAGCCTTCTTATTTTATTTTTGGTAAGTACAGATTTAAAAACCTAGCCAGCAAGTGTGTGGAGGATGCTGAAGGGAGTTGAGCTTCAGGGTGCCTTCCGGGGTCCAAGGAGGGGCCCAGGTCACGTGTGCGTCTGGTCACCTGTTTTGTAACTTTTACAAAGTAAACTAGTTCAGGCTTCTTCTTAGAAAGGGCATCCAAATTCTGTGAGCTTCTAAAACCCAACAAAAAACTAACACCTACTTGCCGTGTGGCACCTCTGAATCAGGTGACTGTGGTTGTCTGAGTAGAATTGCGCTTCCCAGGGCTTTCTTGCTTCTCTCTATGTTGAAAAAGGATTCCATTTCTTTCTTTTTTGGGTCATTTTATTGGGGGCTCATACAACTCATCACAATCCATGCATACATCAATTGTATAAAGCACATTTGTACATTTGTTACCCTCATTATTCTTTTTAAAAAATTTATTTTATTGAGGGCTCGTACAGTTCTTCTCACAGTCCATGCATACATCCACTGAGTCAAGCACCTATGTACACCTGTTGCCCTTATCAATCTCATAACATTTGCCCTCTACTTTAGCCCTCAATATCATCTGCTCGTTTTCCCCCTCCCTCCCCTCTCCCCCTCCAAAGGATTCCATTTCTGTGGTGGTTGGTGAGAATCTCTGGGGTTTCCAATGGCTGCTCTTCCGGAAGTAGATTGCTAGGCTTTTCTTCCGGGTGCCCCTGAAGGACTTGAACTCTGGTCTTTTGAGTCGGCCACTGCCATGTGGATTCTGACTCTGAGGGACCCCGCAGCACAGAGTGGACACGGACCGGCTCCTCCCTCGGAGGCGGTAATCCTTTGCGGAAGTTGGCTGCCTCACTCGTCTGCCCCCAGGGCCCACGTGGAGTTTGAACTGCTGACCTGTTTTGCTTAGCAGCGCAAACCTGGGCCTCAGCCCTTCAGCCTCCTTCCTCGAGGCAGCAACTGTGTGTCATTTCAGAGATACTTTGTGCATTTTGCAAGTGGATACATCCAGATCTAGCCCCTCTTTCTGCTCCGATGCCACCCCTTCTCTGGATGGAAGGAGTTCCCCATTTTTTAATGACCGCTCGGTGTGCTGCTGTGGACTGTACCGTAAGCTAGTTGACCATTCCCCAATGGACGGTCGGTGGGATTATTGCCAGTCTCAGGACCTCTCTATATGGTTGCTATGCAGTGATAAGGTCAATCACTAGGAGTGGCCGCTCAAAGGGCAGGGGCCCTGGGGTTTCGCTGGTGATGTTTGTGTTTTCTGATTGAGGAGACCGCTTCCCCATAGGGATTCTGTGTGTTGTTTTGTTTAAACTGTGCCTTTGTGAACGTGTACATGAGTTTGCCGAGATCGGTTGACACACATTCTGTTCTGTGACCTTAGTCGTGACCCCTCCCATGGACCGGCCCTCTGCCCACTTCCGCCCTGCCTCCCTTTGCTCCGGCCCCCTGCTGCCTTCTGAACTTCGTTGTTGGGCAGAAGCGCCCTGGTGGTCTCCCGTGGTGGTTTGTGCGGAGTAGCACGTTCCCCACAGGTGATATTACCCCCTCAGAGCAGCCTGGTCTTTTTCTTATGATTTTGCTAGGCTTTTGTTTTGCGTCTAGGGCCTTCTGTTGTGACCCCATCCGAGTGGTTGGTAGCCGTGGCCGGCCACTAGCTAGTCCCTCGGGTCGCAGATGTGGAGACTGATGTCTGTGTGCTCCGTGAGCCCGTGCCCGTTTCCTGGTGTCTTGATTTTCATCGTTTCGTTCCTCCAGATGGGGAGAGACCGGTTGTTGCTCCTTAGACGACTGCTTTGATGACCCTGGTCACTACTCACCGGAGTTGGATGTAGGGCATTGTCTTTGTGGGCTGTTATGCCAACTGACCTTGGTGCCCCTCGGGACTGTGGTCTTGATTCCCCAGGCTCCCCAGCACAGTGTTCCAAAGCCCTTGGTTTTACCTAAGAAGCATTCGTAACCGGGCCCCGGTGTACTCCGGCACAGCCATGGACAGCCTCTGTCAAATCCACGTGTCCTCACGGGTGCACTGCCATTCTCCCTCCTGCTCCTGTGCAGCCTGCAGGTCTCCCCACGCACCTCTTCACAGATCGCTGTTCTTGCAGGGTCGGCCTCTGTTGCCTGTACCTCCGCCCGCCCATCGTGTTTTGCCAACCTCCCTCTTATTATATGTTGCCTTCCCCTTCACCCAGGTTAACACACACTCCCACAGCGTTTTCTTGACTGTAATCTTTACGGAAGAGATCCAGGCCTGTCTCTTCTGCGGGTGCGTTTAAACAGCCAGCAGCCCCAGAGGGATGCCCATGGGGGCGCCACATTGGCAGCCATGCCCCTGACCTCCTGCTCCTCTGTTCCAGGTCTGGACCGAGCCCAGCCGGCTGGGCCTCTGCTGTGGGCACCATGGCAGAGGCCAAGGAGGCCGGCCTGTCGGCGGCTGAGTGGCTGCGGGCTCTGCACCTGGAGCAGTACACTGGACTCTTCGAGCAGCATGGCCTGGTGTGGGCCACTGAGTGCTACAGTCTCAGCGATGCCCGCCTGGTGAACATGGGCGTGCTGCTCCCCGGCCACCGCCGCCGCATCCTGGCTGGCCTGCTGCGCACCCACGCACCCCCGGTCCCCACCCCCCGCCCAGCCCCACGGCCTGTGCCCATGAAACGCCACGTCTTCCGCTCGCCACCTGGACCCACCACGCCATCGCCCACTGCTGGAGAGGACGAGGAGCTGCCCGCTGCGCCCCCCATTCCACCCCGGAGGAGCTGCCTTCCACCTGCCTGCTTCTCCACCCCACCCACTGCCACCCCCGACCCTGTGCTGCCCCCGCTGCCTACCAAGAGGCATCTGGCTGAGCCAAGCTTGCCACCCGTGCCCCCTCGCATGGGGCCTCCCCGCCTGCTGGTGAGGTGAGTGGGTGCTGCTGACATGGGAGCGGCAGGGCCGAGGAGAGGCTGGAGGATACTGGGGGATGTTGGGCACTGGGTGAAAAGGAGACTTCAGGAGCAGGGAACAGGCTCAGAGGCCAGAGGCCCCATCAGGCACCTTGAGCAGGCTGTGAGGGGTGAGGGTGTAGCTGAGGCTGGGGCCAGAGCTGGGGGCCGGGAACCAGGAAGACTTTAAGCCAAGTGACTGAGTGAAACTTGAGAGCTGAAAGGACAAGGTGAGAGGGGGGCGGGGGCAGGCAGAGAGGAAGGGCTGGGTGAGAGGTTCCATCAGACCATGCCAAGGAGAGGGGGGTGATGGGGTGAGATGTGGGCAGTGGAATGGGCAGCCCTGCAGAGGAAGGGGGAGCCATGGCAGCCTCCTGGTTTCTGTCCCTAGTGGACAGAGGTGCTGTCCCTGAAATGGGACCCAGGGACAGACGTGGGTTTGGGTGGGGCCTGGAGGCCAGTGTGAGACCTGGTGGGTGTGAGGGCCTGTGGGGATCAGGGAACCTGTGGATCAGGAGGCAGTGGTGGAAGGGGTGGGGGAAGAATGGGGAAGCCTAGGGTGGGCCAGCTGGCCGGGGAGCAGGACCTGACAGGCCCCAGCTCTCCTTTGCACTGCTCCTGCCAAGGGCCACAGAACCCTCGGGGACCCTTCCCAGACTTTACCTACTCATCCCCTCTCCTCCTCCCGTCTTCGGCTGCTGGTGCCCTGGTTCTGTGGGGTTTCTTGTTCCCCATGAGTGCCCCAGTCACTCTCCTTCCCTCTGACCTGACTGCCTCCCTTCCTGCCATCTGTCCGATCGGCCTGGGGCCCTGCTGGAGGAGGATCCCCAAAGGGTGCCCTTTAAAAAAAATGTGATAAGTTTATCTTTAAAGATTTCACCTTTCTTTCACTCGTCCTCTCTCTTGGGAATTCGATCACATTCGTAGGAGTGGTGCAGCTCTCAGCACTTCCAGCATATTTGTCCTTCCTCATTGTCAGCGAAAGTGGGTGACTTTAAGCAACAGGAGGGTAGCCGCTCACGGTTCTACAGGCCGGAAGTCCCACATCAAGTGTAGGCAGGGCTCTGCTCCTTCTGAGACCCCAGACTCATTCCTTCCCCTTTCGGAGGGTGCCTGCACTCCTTGGCTTGTGGGTGCATCACTCATCTCTGGCTCCAGCTCCACCGTGTCTCTCTTTGATACCCGCCTCCTTTCTGGCGTGATGACACCAGTCACTGGATGTCAGGCCCACCCTAAGTTCAGGACAGAGTCCCAGGATGGTGCACATGGTCAGCCCACTCCACTGCATGTGTTCACTCAGAGGGCTTCCCAAGAAAGGCCAGGCAGTGACTTCTGAAAAAACTCTTGCCCATGGAGAGCCCTGCGGGGCCTAGTTCTGCTCCGACACGCAGGGTGTCTCCATGAGGCGGAATAACTCACCTCGTGGCAGCCGGCACTGTCAGACCTGCCAAAGCCTGCATTGTGTACGGCGGGCAGTCAGGAAACCCGGGTGTGTCCCACACAGCGAGAGCTAGAACAGCGGTCAGACCGCAGCCTGATGGAGGCGGCCAACCTACAAGGTCGGGCAAAACAAGGCAGCCCCATGCCCCCTTCACATTTGGGCTCCCAGGTTTCACGCCTTTTTAAAATTTTTCTTCAGTGTTTTCAAAATACAGCAAGAGTTCATTTCAAGATCCTCAACTTAAATGCATCTGCATAAAAGGCCCTCTTTCAAATCGGCATCTTCACGGGCAGCACCGTTAGGACCTAGCTATGAGCTCGGGGGTTTCACAGTTCAGTCTACTGCAAGAGTTGCCATGGGGTGCCAAGGTAGGATGGCTTCCAGGAGGAGGAGGGAATGCAGTGTGAGGGCGGGCGCCCGGTTGCCGACGGGCACTGTGCTGCCGCTTTGCTGATCCGTCCTAGCAGCAAACCTTCCTATGGGTTTGTGCCCTGTTTTCCATCAAGCAGGGAAACTGAGGCTCAGAGAAAGGAGCGGTGCGTGCCCTGCATTGCTGTCGAGGGCATGCTCGGGAGCTCCTGCGGGGAGCCTTCCCGTGCTTAGAGTTTGTGTCAGTTCCCATGCGCCCGGGCCGTCGCAGCCCCGCACACAGCAGAACAAACCACTGGCCGGGCCTGCGTCCCCCTCAGAGTTGTCATGTTTGAGCCCGTTGCTGCAGCCCCTGTGTCGGCCCATCTTGTCTAAGGCCTTTCTCTCTCGCTGCCCCTCCACTTTACCAAGCAGGATGTCCTTCTCCAGGGACTGGTCTTTCCTGACAACTTCCCATCCTCGCCTCCAAGGAGCATTCTAGCCGTCCGGCCTCCCAGACACACGTGTTTGCTCTGCTCACGGTACTTTATGTCGTCTTCGCCAACACCATGACTCAGACGCACCAGACCCTCTGCTGTCTGCTTACGCTCTGTCCGACTTCTGATGCACACAGGCCGCTGAAAAACCTCAGCCCGGGGCAGGCTCACCTCACTCCTCAAAGGGCACATTCAATGGTTTCCTTCCCCCGCTCTGTCCATGACTTCCCAGTGTGGTTCTCTTCAGGGTCGTTGGTAGTGGCAGTTGAGCCCCATCCAGTGCTTCTGGTCTCTGGCTCGTGGAAACTGGACACCTGTGCTTTTTGATCCTGTAAATAGATCTTGTGCAGTAGAGCTGCCCAACTGCATTCGTTGTCTGAGTTTTTGACTGCTGCTTCCACAAGTGTTGACATGTATAGAGTGGACATGAAGTCAGGGAGCTCTGAAGGTCAAGCCAAGGCTGTAGTGTGTGCTTTGCTGTTGTGGTTACGTTTTGTTTTGTAGCTGTTGCAAAGCTACACAGCAAAGCCTACACGATCCAGCTGCCTCCACCTGTATGGTTCAAGGACCTTGCGCCGTTCTTCCCTGTGCAAGTATCCTCATCCTCTTTCCTGAGGCTTCCTCCCACGTCACCGTACCAGCCCTGTCTGAGCCTTAAGTCACTTTTGCTACTTTGACCCATATAGATCTTCTGTCACTTTGCTCTCGGGTCATTCTTACAAGAGCGCCTTGCTCAGGGCGGATGGTATGTACTGGGTGAGGCACCCTATTGTTTGGCTTTTAAGAAGACTGCAGGGGATCAGGGGATATTTGGGGCTTAAGTTTTGTTTTGTTTTTCTGTTCAGGAAACTTAATTTTTTTAAACAAAATATTTGGAAATATGTTCAACTTTATAGAAACAGTGCAAGACTAGAAATAGTACACCTCACATGGGCTTACGTTTTAAAAAAAAA